CTTCAGAACACAGCCAAAGAGCCCAAAAAACCCACAACAACCATTAGATCCTGGCCGTGAAAGCCTTCATGAATACAGATTTTTATTTTGTTTAAAGAAAACGGAACAGTGCTTCATAGATACCCACAACAACCATTAGATCCTGGCCGTGATTTTTATTTTGTTTAAAGAAAACAGAACAGTGCTTCACAGATGCTACAAAATCATGCTCTAAGTTAATGTTTGGCAGCTATTTTTAAATAGCGACCTCATTATAAATTAAGAAATGTCAGGGCTCAATATCTTACCTTTTGCCCACTTGCTCACTTCAGTAACAGCCAGCATCAAAAAAGCCTTCAGCCAGATCGCAGCATCATGGTCAATACATATGTCCTTGTTTTACACAATTATCTCTCTGGGCACAAAAATCTTGCAGAACTGTGTGCCTGAGGCAAGCAAAACCATGCTATCTCTTAGATGATTAATTACAAAACAAAAGCAGGCTCATTTGCCCAATATATATTGAGGAAAACTCATGTTAAAATAAACAGAAGATATTTTCTTCTTAAGAGGGCTGCTGTGCTTCTAAAGACATATTGTCTTGTCTAGCTGGGCCCTTTGTAGTCCCTGAAGTCTGAAGCATGTTCAAATCATCACCCCTCCACCACCAGGCTTGACAGTTGGTATGTGGTGCTGATGTGTTTGGTTTTTGCCAGACATGGTGCTGTGCATTATGGCCCAACATCTCCACTTTGGTCTCATCTGTCCAAAGAACATTGTTCCAGAAATCTTGTGGTCTGTCCAGATGCAGCTTTGCAAACCTAAGTCGTGCTGCTATGTTCTTTTTAGAGAGAAGAGTTTTTTTTTTCCTGGCAACCCTTCCAAACAAACCATACTTGTGCAGTCTTTTTCTAGTTTTACTGTTATGAACTTTATCATTTAACATGCTAACTGAGGCCTGCAGAGTCTGAAATACAACTCCTGGGTATTTGCAATTTTTCTGAGCATTGCACAGTGTGACCTTGAGGTGAATTTGCTTGGACATCTACTCCTGGGAAGATTGGCAACTGTCTTGAACATTTTCCACTTGTGAATAATTTTCCTCACTGTAGAATGATGGACTTTAAATTGTTTGGAAATGACCTTATAACCCTTCCCAGATTGGTGGGCAGTAGCGATTGTTTCTCTATGGTCATTGCTGATGTGTTTCCTCTTTGGAAGCACATCAGCAATGTGTTAACACACACCTAAATAATCCATACTAGCAAACTGCTAGAACTTCAGCTTTTATAAAGGTAGTTACACTTGCTGATGATCAATTACTCAAGGGCATTTGATTAGCAGCATCTGATTGCTACTTAGCCTCTTAATTCCTATGGAAGCAGTAAGGGTGTACTTAATTTTTCACCTATGGCTTCTCCATTTTGGCATTATTTTTGTTAAATAAATCATGACATGGTGGAATATGTCATGTGTTGTTGTTCATCTGAAGTTGTATTCAGCTAATTTTCTGACCTGCTAAGGACCAGATCATTTTTATTATGTCCTGATTCATATAACTATAGAATTCAAAGAGGCTGTACTTTCTTTTTTACATGACTATATGAATCAGCTTGAAATATACTGGATTAGAATTGAGGCGAACATGGCAGTTGACCCAAGAAAGATATTCCCAATTCAGGGGGAAGAATAAGAAAGCAAAGCTGAAGGATCTAGTGATATGTTTGGTGCTGAATATTGCATGCTGTGCAAAGTCATCATTACCCTCTTGGCCTCCCCATCCTTTGCACAGGAGATTCCCATTGTCATGAACTGCAAAAGCAATGGACCTTGATGAGAATACAGGGACAATGTGAAATTATGCTCTCTTATGTTTCACGGGGAAGAGAAGTGCTTGGGCACAGCAGGCGTTGAACTCGGTAGATCCTCTTTAGTAGCATTTAAAAGGATCTCCGCCCCAGATGAGTACCTTCGTGAGCTGTGGCTATGGATTTTCCTAGTGGTTGGAAGTAACAGGTTCTAAGGAACAGCATGACCTGTAACACCTTGTTTTGGGAAACAATGAGTGCCGAACAATGTTGTTTTTTCAAAGTAATATAACATTACTTCTGTGATGTTTTGGAGGTTAACTTTGAGGAGTCTAATATTTTTCTACTTTTAAATTTTGTTTCTGAAACAAAACAATCAATGATAATAGATTAAAAACTAACACGTTAGCAATGTGATATTAATATAATATGTAATACCTAATACATTATTTGAAGAAGAAGAAAAAGAAGCAGAGTAGAAAACAACACCTAACCCATTGTTTTCAAAATCATCAAGAAGAAGAAGAAGAAGAAAAAGAAGCAGAAGCAGAGTAGAAAACAACACTTAACCCGTTGTTTTCAAAAATCATT